AAAGAGCTGGTGTAACTACCGAGATGTGGAAGTAAATTCATTCTAAACTGCCCCAATGCAGCTAATAAGGGAAAGCTGTCCTATTGACAGACCATCACATTTTCCACTGATGCACTAGATGTGACTAAACTGCACACGGGCTGGCCGGGAACTGGATTCCCTTTCACTGTGCTCGGCAGGAAGGGGCCAGCATCGTCCTATACCCATGTCATGACCCCGACATAACGCTTAGTAATGGAAGAGGAGGCCTGGCATGTCCCCAAGCACAGGATTTCAGCTTACCTGGGCACCCTGTGAAATTTTAATTATTTCAAGGTCCAAACTGTACCCAAGTTGCAGGGAGACCAAATTTCCAGATAAGAAAACAAGACATGTTGCTATTTCAACTGCCATCTATTACAACACTGGACAGCAGGGTTCAATGGATATTTGATCATCCATAACAGTTACAACTTAGAAGATGAATTTATTATCGGTTGGTTCCTTTACACATAACAGAGAAAATAAAGAATCCAGGACATACATGCTGACAAAGGCATTTATGTTAAACACTCAAATATTTTTCACTGCCTCTTAAGTTTAATTTTCTCTGCTAGAGAACAGAATAAAATGTGAAGGAGAAAGACACATTTTAGAAGGCAGAAAGCAGAACAGGGAATAGCGACGTAGAAGCTGGTTTTTAATTTAGTTTTCCTAGTCTGATTTCTAAAAAGTAAAACTTCATTTTTTCTATTTTGTTGTATATATTCTTTCACGGTAAATCCTCTTGTGGATCAAGGCAGGGAAACAAATGAAGCAATAAAACAGGACCTGGTGGGCTGTCTGCCCTGCCACCTTCACATTCTCCATGTTCCATCATTCAGTGCACAGAGAACTAGGTTACATGAGTGATTCCAGCAGAGGCAGGATCCTCTTGTACTTCACAATCAGAATAACTCTAGGTACTTAAACTCCCCAAAATTCGGGCAAGGGGAGAATTTTTTTTTAAAGGAAAAGCACCTTTAACCAACATTTAATCTGGAGACTTTAGCCACTTGCCAAAATATGCCATCTTGTTGAGCCAATAAATTGAAAGCAGGCAAGGGGGGTTGTAACCAAATAAGGGGTAGGTTTTAATTTTTTACAGGCAGGAGGAGGAGGATACCAATATGGTTAGTCTGTCAGCAAGCATTAATCCTCATTAATGTCTCCCATTCAAATCCATTCTTCCCTGCACAGCTGTGCAAACATAAATTAATTGGGTCATTTTGACGAAGGCATACAAGAAAAAAATTTTTTAATGTGAGGCAAAGGAACTAATTGGACAAATAACACATACTCTAAACGTGTGGGAGGGATTAAGCAAGCTACCACATCATAGATGGAAGGACATACCTTCAAATGCATACCACGGTAAACATCCCTGTGTGAGAAGGCACCAAAGAGTAGAAGGAGGTGGGGACAGTTCATGACAAAGCGCAAGATAACAGCCCCGGGTGAGAAGAGGGGCCAGGCACCATGCAGAGGACTTTATGGTAGCATTTCATTTAATCCCCCAAGAACCATTATTCCCAGTTTACCTTTAAGGCAATTAGGGACAAGGAGGTTAAACAACTTGCCCAAGGTCACATGGCCAGTAGGTGTTGGAGTCAAAGTCACAATTTCAATTCAGGGCGACTGACTCCAGAGACCATGATTCTAAGCACGGCATTGTCCTGTTTTCTTAATACTTGGCATCCTGCTTGCACTATGGAGAGTATACAAAAGGTAGGGCCATTTCTTGACCTTAATAAACGTACAATCTGATTGGAGAGCCAGGACGGACACATGAAATAATCAAAGAACAGGAACAGGAGAATAACCTTGGGGGTCTGCAGTTTTTTTAGGTGGAGGATGGAATTTACAGGAGCAGGGGAAAAGGGGCTATAATTCATCTGTGCAACTTTTGAGAAGGATTTCCACCAGACTCAAACTAAAGAATGAGATGCAGAGACAATACGATACTTCAGAAAATACTGATTCATTCCTGCCATGTTTGAGTGTTCAAAAAAGGCTCTCCCTTTCAGAAATTACCCTTAAGAAAGGACAGGAAAATAAGCAACAATGTCATACTTGTATAGCACAGGGAACTATATTCAGTATCCTTAATGGAAAAAAATAAGAAAAATAATATATATATATATAAATAAAACAATCACTTTCCTGTGCACCAGAAACTAACACAACATTGTAAATTAACTAGAAAAAAAAAAGAAAGAAAGAACGAACAAACAAACGAACAGGAGGACAATTGGCCCATCCCCCAGCTTCATCTTTAGGGTTAATAAAAATGCCCACAGCCTCCAGGAAGCCCAGACAGAGAGAAGGAGAGAGAAGTTCCTGAGGTTTACTCTGCAGGAGGTGTGGCAGGCTCTCCCAGCCTCCAGAGACTAAGAAGCAGGAAAAAGATGATTTGCATCATCTCTTTGGTTCTCTTCCTTTGGAAATTACTCATCCCAAGGCCTCTGACAGACAGAAAGGGACAGGTTTGAGCTAGGGACCAGTGAACATTCTCAGAAGAAGTGGCAGGGCTCCAGAAACTGGAGGAATGAATAAAGGCATGCCAAAAATTATTCTGAAATTGACATCAGATTCATGACCCTCATGACTGTATAAGTGTGTGGGGAACTCTGATAATGGTTTCAAGCCATCTACTTCCATTTACTTTGCTGTATTTAAATTTCTGTTGTGTTCTTAATGTTCATTTTCAAGTGTACATGGATTTTAAGATCAATGCATTTTTAAGTGGGTTGACATGTTGCCATCAGCAGCAGTTTCATGGTTAGCACTGGACAAGTCACCATAGTGCAGGCAGGACACACACGCCTGGAATGAGCTTTTTTCTCCTGTGTGGACAAAATTCTGTCAGAAGACCTGGGGAGCATGTGGGGAGCTGACACCAACTCTTGACTCAGGTTTCATGAGGAACCAGATGAAGATTCAAAACCAAATCCCTTGACACTTGCTGGGTTGAACTGCCCATCAAATGTACAGAGAGAAGGGCCTGGAAGCTGTCACTTTTCAGGCAGGCTCCCAGGGCAGCCCTGACACTCCTGAGAACCAGGGCCGGGTCAGGGAATTTAGGGCAGAGCAAATATTCCCGAAATGTCCTGACCGAAAAGCAAAGAGCTCAGTTTAAGCTCCTTGTCAGTGGTTCTCAACTCCATAGAATCATAGAACCACCAGGGGAACTTTGAGAAGTTATTCATGCTGTGCCCTACCCCAGTGATTCTGATTCAGAGGGTCTGGGGTGGAGCCTGGACATTGATTCTAACACATAACCAGGGTTAGAGCCACCCTGTGGAACACGAGAAGCCTGAGATACTATGAGCATTAGTGAGTGGGGCTACTCAATCAACATACAGTGAAAAGAACAGAATTCTTTCGTTCCTTTGAAAGCTTAATCTAAATTTTATATCCTTCTTGATCTCGAGAAACTAAGAGTGTGAGCTGCCTGGATTACAGGTCCTAGTTATACCACTTACTAGCTAAGTGACTGTGGGCAAGGTACAGCATTTCCTTGAGACTCCGTTTTCTTAGCAAGACAATGGGGTTAATAACCAGGCCATATCAGAAGGTAGTTGAGATGACTGCATGAAATCAAGTATGTATGTTATTTGGCCCAATGCCTGGAACATGTAAAATGCACAATAAACATTAGCTCCCATGGTTGATGATGATTAAAATAAAAATATACTAGTCATATTTCAATAAAAGGGATGTTCTAGACCAGGTTTTACTTACTGGGCCAGGCTTTAAGGAACTGTGTAAAACTGAAATGCAAGAGCTATAGAAAGGGTTCTTCCATGAAGATCAGTTGAAGGAAGTAGGGCTATTCAGCCAGAGAAGGGAAAAACCGAGATGATACATGGTGCTGGCTTCCAATGCAAGGATCAGGTCCAAGAGTGGGCAGCTAATTGTGTGCATTTCTAAAGCAGGAATCTTAACTTAAAGAGGGGGAACTGTGGATAGAACTCAGAGAGCCCAGAAATTTGGATGAAAAAAAAATTTTTTTATTAATCTCAAATGGAAATTTAGAATTTCCTTCAATTATGAATGTAAGCAACAAACTTCAGTAATACTAGCAGTACCTGTGATTTTTGTCACCAACAGAAACCACAGCTATTTCCATATATTATAGTCATGGAAGAGACCTAAAATAGTATTTATAATTAGGGTGACCAACTGCCCTGGTTTGCCCAAGACTGAGTGGCTTCCCAGAACATGGGACTTGCAGTGCTAAAACTGGGAAAGCCCCAGGTAAACCATTCCCTACTAACATTCATCACTACTTTGAAATTATGATCGTTATCACATTGCTAGATGCCATTATTGCATTATGCCATTATGGTACTCTGCTATATTACAATTTCAAAATTATCTCGATAAATGTATATCCACATAATCTGTGTCTTTTATGATCCTTTGTACTTCGTTTGATGCATTTAAAAGTGCTCTTCTCAGTTTAAAGACTTTACCAAATTGCCAAAAGGGCCTATGGCATAAAAAGGGTGAAGGGGGAAGAAACTGGTAGCATGGGCTAGAAAACGGAGGAAAACAGATTTAAGTTCCTTTAGGCCTTGCAACCTAAAAGCAAACAATGAGCTACATGGTAGAAGAGGACAGAAGCATGTATCTCCAAAGGACACAACTAGACAATCAGTTGAGGGAGCCGTTTTCCCACTCCCAGTTGTCTCCATCTTATAATCCTGTGTACAGTAACCAGGGGCTCTCCCTAAGTTCTCCTATCCTGATGACGTATGTATGTGTATTTTGTTACTTATATTGTTGTGGCATTAACACAATCTTGATAGCTATCAATTCCAGTATCTGTTAGGTCTACCAGTTTCCAAAAATTACAAATGCTTCCTCTAAGAATCATTGGCCAGAACTGAAAATTTCCCATGAATTAAGACAATGGAGATTTGGATTTTTAAAAAATCAACTTTAAAGAATTGATCAAAAGAAACTTTAACTCTTACCGGATACCACTGGGCTTCTGACGGACAATGGCCCCCATCTTGCCTAGTCACCACTGTTGACAGCCGTTCCATGACTCTCCCACAAGGCAGTAAGAGACCGTTTCTCTTC